ACTATTTAATATGTATGATATCACTAATCATCCAAAATTTCTAAATAGTTCTTTTAAGATTTCAGTACGTTACCCAAATAGAATATTTTTCACATAATATTTATGAATGTTAAAATTACATCTTGCATAATTATTTAATTTTAAAATAGTATAAGTGGCCAACTTGTATAGTTTGATATCTCTGAGGGATGGTTCGGTCATCCGGTATTCAAAGCGAGATCATCACTAATAATAAAACAAATGTTAGATAAAAAGTGAAGAAGGAAGAGTGTTGTTCAATGCTACCAAATTTGACAGAAGATGAAGTTAAATTAATTAAAGGTCATGTTTAAGATAACATATTTGTAAAAACTTATTTTGATCTGGTGACATAACTATAATAAAAGTGGGATAAATAAAGTCAATAAAATCTACTGTACTATATTAAGAGTCAAGTATATTTTGTAATGTATTGGCAATACGTGAACTGAACCAGAAGGTCAGGAAAAAACAATTTTTTGATCGTCTGGTATTTGTTAGTTTTATCACAGTAAAATACCATCTACAGAATTATTTAATTAAACATAGTATTTTCACTTTTTAAGACCCCTACTTTTCTAACATGGCTCCTCATAACTTTGATTCTTCAAAACGAAATTGTTATTGAAATAGCTCAAATTTAAATAACCCGAAAATATTATGAAGAATATCATGACCCTAGCTAAGCTCTATTTCCTAAGATATTTTCAGTAAAAAATTTTCAGCTGCAAAATAAATTTTTGTAATTCTCTGAATAGAAGAGTGGATACTTATTATACAAAAAGTACACATTGTATAAACAGATTATTACCTATAGGCTATATTATATTATTACCTCAAATTGATTTGCTCTCTTAGCAGTGTTTATATCATCAAGTGACTCAGCATTTTTTGGTAAGAAAAAGAGTCCGCTTATTGAAATACTTATTTTTCCTATAAACAATTGAGATTTAAGATTTCAATAGTACAAACTTAATTTCCATTTGATAAATACCTTGTTGAGTAGGTTTGAAAATCTCTTCATATAACCTATAGGCTTTTCCATGTGCAATAAGTTGTGTATGAGCTGCCAAATAAAATCCGGTATTGTTTAAATTTAAGTATGGGGCATATGCTTTAATGGCATAACCTTTACAAATTTCCAATGGTTCATTAATCGTTATCCACCATTTTACCTATAACGATAAGTATAGAGTATAAAAATAGTTCATTTTCTCTACAAATTATTTAATTTACTCTGTCTCCGTAGTAAGTAAATAACACTCGTGCATATTCTTTAAAATAATCTGACATAATTGGATTAACCCAACCTCCAAGATCCTGTAGGTATTGTGGTAGATCCCAATGATACATTGTAACCTAAAGATAATTTTAATTAGGTACCTTACTGTATTCCTTATTTTTAATAAAAAGTAAATCTTACAAATGGAATAATATCGTTTTTGATAAGTTCATCAATAATACGATTATAATATGCTATTCCTTTTTCATTTAATGTATTCATTTCTCCGGTTGGTGATATTCGAGCCCATGATATGGAAAAACGATAAAATTTCACCTAGACGAATCATAAAATTTAATGTATTTCTAATAACAATAAAAAAGTTCAACGCTAATATTACATTTAAATTTTTTGCCAGTTCTATATCTTCTTTATACTTGTGATAAGAATCACAAGCAATATCACCATTAGTTTTATCTACTATTAATTCCGGACTATTATGAACTAAATAGTCCCAAATATTTTCTCCTTTTCCTAAAGAATTTTCATAATTATTGAGTTAATATTACTAAATTTATCAGGAGAATAAAGAATTGATAGAACATCAATGACATTTTTAATTTATTGAATAGTATAAATAATGTATATCTATAATATTAAGTATTTTATGCATAAGAAATTTTTGTTTACCATCTTCATTCCAGCCTCCTTCTATTTGATAAGCAGCAGTTGCAGTACCAAACATAAAGTCATTTGGAAATTTATAATCCATTGAATTTGTACGAGAAATAATTAAAATTACAATTAAGAAAGTAATTTTTGTCATATGAATATTGAATGTTAATTTATTGTGCATGTTCATCGCAAGTATCACTGGTTATATATAAGTGTCAAAATATTATCTTAAATCGAAAAGTTCCACTTCAAACAAATAATTATTACTTATTCATATGAAGAACTGGTTATCATTTAAATATTATATAAAAATAAAATGTATTAGGTAAGTGGTACCTACCTACTTATTTACCTGTAATAATAATAAATTAATTAAACATAAACCTTTGTGTGATATACTTAATATATAGAAATTGGATCACTAACATGAGTCAATAAATATGTAATGTTTTGTTAAAGAGCTTATGCTTATTGATTAATATAAATAAAATAATGAAAATAAGTTAATATGTATAGTATTTTTGAAAGTTAGTATCTAATTTGTAATTAACCTTTAAGCGTCGGAGTTATTTTTTTCGTTAAATCGTTGTTTTTGGGCTTTATAGTTATAAAAAAAATTGTGTTTAGATGTAGGTAAATCAATTTTAGTTCTTAAAACAAATCGTTCAACACTTGGTTACACTAAGCGCTGACACTACATACAAAATATTATGAATAGTATAGAATACTATAAATACAAAAATATAAATAAAATGTAGTAAAAATATTTCTTTACTATTTTTAAATTTTGAATTAAAATTTTAATAAAAAGTAAATTTATAAGTTATTATATTTAATTTTTTATGAAATACTCGAAAACATGGGATACAAAGTCCTAAATCACATTTTATGCATATAGTTTAAACATGTGATTTACAGTTGTCTCTGACATACCGATATTTCTTTTTATTTGGTACTTAATTAACCAAATAATTAATTTGATCATATTGCAATTCATCGGAAATTCTAATACTTGAAATTTATATTTTTGATTTAGATGGCCGTTTTTTCTTGCTTTTCTGGTTGTCCATATTTAGTTAGACAAGTGAGTGCAATTTCACGTTTAAACTCTAACTTTGTATAAGTTTTCCAACTTTTTTTGACAAAATCTACGCATTATTTATTGTCACTTCTAAGAGCCAGTAAAAATTGGCCACTTCCATTTTTTCCACAAATCTCTACTCGATATCTAGCTGTATTTATATTCATTAGGTCAACTCCCACCTACATGCTTAATGTTTATTATAATAAGTAATTATAGTAATTACTGCTGGTTGGAGAACTTGAATGCATTTTTTTGTTATTGAAAAAATCGTCTGACACAAGATCACTTTACCTAACTTTCGTGGCAATTAGAAAACATTGAAATAACTGCATTATCAACCTAACGAACGAAAATCAACCCATATTTTCAGCTAACAATACTTTTATACTCTCTTCGTACCTTAGATATACTATTCTTACTAATAGGGCAACTTTTTGGAATATGATTGTATCGTATTGTACCTGTTGCTCCGTAACTACGTCCACGTAAATCAGCTAAGAGATTAAGTCCAGTGAATAGGTTATCGAAATAAATATAATATGATAATTATTTTTCCTGGTAAATCATCCAACATAATCATTATTAAAGTAGTAGCTTTTACCATATTCATCTTCGTAAGTTGTTTTTGGAGATTTATTTTGATTTATATTAAAATTTAAAAGATATCCAAAATCTGTAGTTAGACGCCTTGCTTTATATCCGAAACGTATAAGCTTACTGCTTAAAAATTGTTTGCAACCATGATGTCTACCGTAATATTTAATCATAGATTCATCATACGATAAATATTGATAAAGTTGAAAGCTTTTAAGAATGTTCTCTAATAGTTTTTCAATTAAAAGTCTAAGTTAGTACATTTTATCTGTTGTATTTGTAAAATTCTATCAATATTATCCACACAATGTATAAACACTATAAACTGCGAAATTTGAAGAAAACGATTACTCACCATTTCATTTCTCATATCTTTTTCGTTTTTCCAATACCCAATAATATTTTTTACTCGTAAGTGATTTATAAATACTTAATTCGAATGGAAATAAAACATTTTTATTATTCTACTATGATATTAAAGTCTTCGCTATAGCAAAACATGGCATATTTACTCGATTCGAAAACTAAATTTTCAAAAATATTATTAATAAACATAAGTTTGAAAAGTACGACACAAGAAAATAAAGAAAATTCTGAATAATTAGTGACAGGAAAAGGTTTAAAATTATTGCATTGAAGATAGCCTTGTACCTGGTTTGGCTCTATGAGTTAATTTTTCAGCCAATATCTGGTGCTTTTATTTCTAATCTTATAATTTAATTTATTTAAATAATTTTATGATCATTTATAAATTCTCCAATTTGACTGATTTGAGAGTTATTAGAAAAAAAAGTTTAGCAGTTGAAGTTAATTAGGGACCTGAGAGATTATAGGTATTCCCCCTTCTTTCTCATCACCAGAATGTTCGTCAGTAGTCAGTAAGTATACTTGGATCAGGTGCCGTAATGTATATACCTGGAGTACCAAAATCTTCGCTAATTTCGATCTCATTATTTAATATGCTTAAAAGTTCAAAGTTCTTTCAAAGTAAAATCATTTCTAAAAATATTAATAAGTTAAAATCGATTAAAGTTTTTTTAGAAAAATATTTATTCGTCTTCAATAGTTCACATGTAGTATTTTTTTTATTGTACAGAATATTTTATGAAAATATTTCTATGCTATGTAATATGCTTCATAAAAAAAAAAAATAATAAACTAAATTAATTATTAACAATGTTTTGTAGAACAATATAATGTATTATTAAAACATCGATGAATAAGATCAAAATAAATGTAATTTGTTGTATAATGTATACACATGAACATTTTATTGTCGACGCTCAATAGCGTACCTATATCATATATTCGTATATACATTAAATGTACTAAAAACGCCTAGTAACTGGCTAGTGTAACCATATAACGGTCACATACACGATTTTATAAAATAAAGTAATTGTTATGTTCAAATAATATATTCAACGTAATACTAGTATTGAATACGACTATATAAAAATATTACGAACAAATAATAGTCATATAAAAAATATTTTACTTACGCCAAGGGTATATCCATAATTTTTGTTCTCGGAATATCTTCTATTGAAATAGGTATGATCAGAATGAAATTTACAAAGCAGAACACCACCGAAAAACAATTAATACTTGAGTATATTGACTAAAAATAACTTTTAATACAAGAAATATTTAATAGATGTTGGAATAACACGTTATGACTCATTTTTACTGTACTATATGGTTACGCGAGACGCTGAAGGGTTAAAAATATGGTATACTGACATACCGTGTATGTATAAATCTATTGTTACATAGGTTCAACAGCTGAATTAAATTTTTTTTTTCATACATTTGTAGTATAACTCGGATTTTAATGCAAAAATGAAAAACTTTAGGTATATAATTATATAATAATTTTTTTTTTTTTGAATTTGTGTTTGCTTTTTAAAAATTAATATTATTATAGTATAATATTCTATGTATAAGCATTAAACAATTAAAGTTAACATTCCTATATTCTAATGATTGAATTAAATTAAACTTTAATAGTCAAATGTTTCTTTAAAATAGAATGTAATGCCTACACAATAATTCTACCTCCACAACTAGAACTAGATCTATTTACACCCCTAACAGTCCTAACAAAGAAAAAGAAAATACCTATATATAAAGGATCATCCAACTCAACAATTTTACTTAAGCTTAAATTATAGTACATATAGTACTATGACGAAAAAAATGATATCACTAAAAATTTGTAAATGACTATCCGTTTTTTGCGGCGACGGCCATTAATAATAATGTTAAAAATACGTATAATATATACCATATATAATAATATTTATCCGTTTTTAGTTTCACGTAAAGTGTAAGGCGTAACTGTTAATAGTGCTAATAAACTTATTTTTTCGAATAACCTAATCAAATGTATTTTAAAGTAGGTAGATACCTCATGATTTAACTATTCGTATAATTAAATCACACTTTGGATTAATATTAATAAAATAATAACAATTTAAATTGCATTATAAATTATAATTTATAATACACTGCTGTCGTAAGAGTAAGTACTATTATGAGATTATTTTTGATTGTATAATAATAATATTATGCAAACCCTCACCCACTTCTAATATTAACTACCAGTTAAAAATAAAATAGTCAGCTTAGGCGTCAAAAATGTTTAAGAATACGATGTCACGATCGTCAAAACAATATTATACACTCATTCACAGTAATATATAGTAAATTCGTAAGTAATATATATTTTACCTAAATGTGATATAGTTATACAAATGGAAAGATTATGAGGTACTCTTAAATACATTTGATTAGTTCATCCGAAGTCCATTGATAGTTATTTTACGTTAAGTCAAAAACTGTTAATATTACCATGCATTATATTATAATAAACGCCTCCACGACGAATAAATCCGTGACGTCACGCGCAATGTTAAAACTTAAAAATCACCGTACCTAGCGAATGGATAGTCACAAATAAATTTTAGTTGTATCATATTATGTATCATTATTCTAACTATATTCTATTTATTATGTTAATAAAAAAATAATTGATTTTTTTGAGTTTGATGGTTTTTTAATCAAGAAATTTGGTTTTAACTTTAAAATTGTTATACAAACATCTACTCAATATATTATTTTAACACTTCAAACTCTACTACTTAATAGGTACATAATTGGTATAAAACTTAAACAAGAAAAGAATAATTATTTACCTGGAGGCTGAAATTAACGTGATAAGTGTTATTCATTAATAATGGATGGTATTAGTGTATTGCCTTTGGAACTGCTAATTGCTAAATGAATTAAACGATGCAATAATCGAAATATTAAAATAACAAAATCTCGAAGTCTGTGAGACACAGAAAGTGATCGGCGACCATTGCGAACCTAGCGGAAATATCACATCGGCGGGTTTGTGTACCTAATAATAAAATGTAATTTTACAAACATCTACCTAGGTACTTTCCTAACAGTATACTGTGAATGTGATAATATTTATTATGAAATATGATAAATCTCTAATAGGACTAATTACGTAAAAGCCGAACTTAAAGTGGGAAAAAATTCTAGAAGGACTTATGTTTCCATCTAGTTTTAACTGTTTTAAGCGTTCTCTATATTATTTATAATGTATAATTTCAGATACATATGGTATACTATGAAACATTTAAACAGTGATTATGTTACATACTCATCATATTTTTTCAAGAATAACTACTATTTTTTTACAAATTTAATATTTTTCAGTTAATATTAAATTATAAGTTATGGTTGTTTTTAAGGAAAATAAAGAAATCAGCTAGACAAAAAATATTTATATCATAAAAATATAGTGTTTTAATGCTTTAAACTGTACAAGAAAAAATTCAAATTCTACACATAGTAGCAGGATCACAATGACTAAAAAAATCACACATTTACACTTTACATGTAGGTATGTATATACAGTGGAACCGTCAATTAGGTATCGTGTTTGCAATTAACCGTGCTCACTTTTTCGAAAATTTAAAAATTCCTGAACTAAAAAATTTTTGACTTACATGATGTTATTGATTATAGATAAATAAGAAGTAAAGAAAGAAAAATTATTTCAAACCAAAAAAAATCAAAGACTAATAACTTCATATTTTAAGCCATGATACATAGGTACTTAACTTTATTGTATTTCTAATTCATTATAACATATTGTAAAAAGTTTCAAAAAATACATTATATATTATATAAAAAATGTCGATTAACCGTGGTACCTATTCATTTATTTATGTGACCCCTCCTCTCGTCATCACTGATAATAGAGGTTCTAATGTTCTACTATAATTATAATATATTATGAATATATTAAGTTTAATTTTACATAATATCATTATGTTATCGACTAATCGAATACCTATTAATCACAGTATAGCCATTTACAATAAATAATAAAATCAATTATTTTTACACATATATATCAGATATCCCAGGAGTCGCTAACCTTTTGAATTGAATTAGCTACATTGGAAATTTTAAGTCTCTAATGATAGACATCTAGGTCTAGAGAAATTGTTTAATGAGCAAAAAAAAAAAAAGTTTTAAAGAATAATTATTCATTGTTTCTTTATAATAATTATAATAAAATAATAAAACTATAATTAACTATTCACACAATTACAACTAACCAATAATGGTAAATTCACTAAATGAAATACAATGTAGCAATATTATCCGATTATTTATTACGCGATCGATGAATAATGGTAAAATTATATTTTTATTCACGATCGACCTATATTTTTAGAAAGATCGACTGGTTGATGACCCCTGAGATAGTCCATAATTTGTATTAAATACATTTGATAAAAGTAAAGTAACAATTGATATAAATAAAATAAAAACCAAAATTTAATCTCAGCGGAATTTTGAATAACATGAGTACCTATTAACTAATGTTTGACGATTATAATTGGAATGTTTCGGCGTACTCAACGAATAATTTATTAAAGGGAACACTTTTTAATCACCATTAGAGGTAGAGGGGCCGAGTCCCTCTACGTCCTACTACTGAGTATAATATAAGTACTAACCACTAGTCACAATTTGTATACATGGATAAATATTAAACTGATTTTTTTACCATTTATTGAAAATGAAAACATAAATATAACTTAAAAATTATATTTTATCGTGATGAATAGTAATTTACCTGCTGTAGAGTGCAGACGTTGTCTTTTTATTTTCTTGAAATTTCGAGAAGAGCGGTACATATTGTAGGACATATTAGACTCTCTAATCCATTGGATATATCCGCAAAGATAGGCATTTTAAAAAATTAAACATTTTTTTAAATTAATTAACTACCTATTAAATTTTTCAACTTAATGGTCAATTTATTTTTTAATTTTAGCTTAATAACTTAAACTAGTTTTGTTGACAGTAGAAAACTTTTATAAATAACTGACCTTTTTTCGGCTTTAAAAAAATCCTTTATCGAGTTAAAATCAAACATTTTTAAAATTTTTGTTATTATGGTTTTATATATTAACATTAAAATTTATAGTAAGTAAGGGTAGATGAAGTACATAGTTTTAAATAAAAATAATCTTAATTCTTATACTTATTAGTTATTGTTATTTATAATATTAAAAATACTACTTTCTCTTATGATTCTTGATAAAATATTTTATATAAAATATTGATAGACATTAGGCACAGAATACTCTTTAAGCAATCCATGTAGGTTAGGTTAGGTTAGATTAATTAAAACTTTTAGACTAATTAAAAAGTAGATTATTCTTTAAATTGAGTTAAGATAAAAAGTTTCCATACTAAATTTAAACTTAGCAAGTTAAATTTATTATTTATTAACTATTAACTTGCCAAGCATTTAGATATTTCTGTAATTTTATGTAATGAGTTTGGGTATCCGTGAATAATCACGAGAAGAATTGATTATTATCTGGTAATATTGTTTAATGTTTTTTATTGAAAAGACCAAGGTTCAAGAGCACAACAAAAAAAGGGTGTAAAAGTCAAAAAAGATATGCCTATTTTATTATTAAAATTAATAAAGATTTTATTTAGAATATGCGCTAGGTATTAAGTAGTTATACTATATATTATATATTAACAGGACCCCACACCTGCATGTGTTATCTCCGTCTTACATAATACAACATAGTAAATTTTCGTTCAGCAGAATCCATTTTATGTTGTTAGCTTTGACTTTGACATTAGACTCATTAGAGTAAATTTACCTATTATCAAACATAATGGTAAGAATTTTATCTAGACAATAACATAGGCTTTTATTGATATTCTAATTCTAAACTGAGTTACAGCTATATAAAATATTAAAACTTAAAAATTCGAATAATTCACTTTAAAATTATAATATTAATAAAAACCTATGTCATTGTCTAGATAAAATTCTTACATTTAAATTTGATAATTTACTCTAATGTTAAAGCTAACTATGTAATATAATAAATTATATAAAATGGATTCTGCTGAACAAAAATTTGCTATGTTGTATGACTTGTACCTAGGTATGTATTTAAGACGGAGACAACAATTGCGGGTGTGGCGTCCTGTTAATATAAATCATTGGTATAGAGAAATTTTAGGCTATTTAAAATAGATTATCATTTAATAATACACACCATAAATAAGGTATACAAATATTAAAAAACTGCATAGGGTATAAAATACATTATAACATTACGCCAAGTGATAGTAATTTTAAAAATAGATTTACATTATTATTATTATTAAATATTTACTTATTTATTTATATTAATCAACGGGCATAAGTCTTTTAACAAAATATTAGGTACATATTTATAGACTCGTGGAAACTAATAGACATAGGGATAATTATACAAATAAAACATGTTTTAAGTGTTTTAATTCTAAAGACTTAACGAGATAAAACAAAAAATCTAAGACTATGGAGATTTTAATGATGTTTAAAAGCTCTTGAGAGTTAAGATACATGTTATTGTTAAAAATAGGATTCAAAATTCAACTCCCATCAATTTATTAATAAGTATATTGAAGATACTTATTCATATTTAATCATTTATACTTACCTAATAAGTTAATGAAAGGAAGTTCTACATAGAAGAAATTCTACGGCAAGTTTTATATTATTGTCTGAAAATCATTAACTAAAAAGTAATGATTAATGAATAAGTATAATGACTGTAACTAATGCATTTAGGTACCTACCTAAAATATAATATTTAAAAGTTAAATATATTTGTAAATGAATAAGTTGTATAGGTATTTTGTTTTGGAAAAAACTATTTTACTTTAATGTATTTGCAAACTGCAGGTTCTGTATACATATATCTATCATGTATGTAATTTTGAGATCTACTTTATAAAGTGATTATGGTAACTTGGTGGTAAGGGTAGTCTCCTTCAAGACAATTAGATCAGAATGAATAATAGTCCATCTCCCAAAAAAAAAATTATAAAAATATCAGATCATTTCAAATCCTCTTAATACATATTTTTTCAATTTACCAATTCTTTAAAATAAAATACTTAGGAAATATAAAGGTATTTAAATAATTTGTTGATATAATACTTAGAAAAATTACTGTGTCAAACCCTTAAAAAAAAAAATCTGAATTAGTATGAACTAACAATTTGTCTGTTTCATGTAAAATAAAAAGAGAAAATAATGTACCTACTGGCTATTGACATCCTCTTGATCACTGGACCAGATGTCATTGAGACATTTTATAAAAATCCTTTACAAAAGAATATCTGGTTGATTGGAGAAAAGAAAATTGATGTTTTAATTATTGGTCTTCATCAAAATATAAGAATAATCTTTTTTTAAATCAGATATTTATGATTGAGTCCATTCAACAGGATAAGTTCAGAAGATCCAATATTATCAAAAAATATATATATATTATTTGGATTTCTATAGTTCAATGAAACTTAATTTTTGAACAATATAATACATATATATATAAGAATTAAGAACATATAAAAAAATGTTACTCACCACAAAATCCAATTTTAAACTATTGTCAACTCTCAAGGATTCAGAACATTTTGGGAGTTGATATTTCATCACATTATTATGTCAATACATATTATCCATAACTTGTCCTACAATCATAGTCATCACAGATTAATTAAATGAAACAATGTTGATAAATTAATGTTCCATTTAATCCAAATTATATGAGGATCATAGAAGTTAACCAGAAAACAATAAAAAACAAAAAAACCCTTAACATCTTAATGTAAAATACCTAAACATATAAAAAATTATGTGACTATTATTTATATTTCAATAAATCTTATGACTTAAAAAACACTTTAAT